AGTACGTACCTTACTAGTACTATAGTAATAAATAACCTAACTTAGTATAACTAATTAGTTATTACTAATACTACTATAGTAGTACGTAAATAATACTACTCTCTCATATATATATATATATATATATATATATATATATACACACACACACACACATTTAATGAATATTTTTGTAACTATGCAATACAAGTTCAGCTGAAAGGTACCATTGTTGATGTAGTGCTCCAACTCAAGTTTTCTGAAATGTGAAGTTAGCCTAGTAAAGAATGAGATAAAAAAATAGTAAAGTTTAGATTATATAAATGTGTAGCTTAGAGAAAGAATTCTGTGTAAATAGTACGTAGTATTAGGTTTGTTGTGCTCTATTTTAGTGCTCAGATATTGTGTAACCTTAAAGAGCTCACAAAATAATTGCATAAAGAAAGATAAATTGTCTTACCTATATAAAATTCAGTTACAAAGATGATTCAGAATGTAAGTGTAATTAATAAAACGACATGCTGGGAAAGTTATGTGCCCTAGTTAGGGGTTTTCATGACCCACTGTAATGATACAAGGATTATGGTCCCTTCATCCAACACCAATGGTATCTTATATGATGGTTCTGGTTATGGACTATTGCTCTGAAGTTCCATTGCACTGCAGGAAGTATTTGTGCAATATATTAAGGTAAATTTCCCTCCTCTTCTTTATGATTTCCAAACTCCAATCTTTGGCTATTTACTTCCATAATTCATAACTTTGAACTTTTCTTTCCATCAGCTTCTTTCACAACACTCCTTCAGATTTCATCAACAGACTGCCATTTTTTGAAGTAAATGCTATTTAACCTTCTTTACTACCTCCAGTGTGCAACTAGATATCAGTGATGGAGTACTGTATTTTCCATGCTTAACTATATCTTCCCTTTCTTTAACAACATGATTTAACACTAAGTATTCTTTTTTGAAGTACTAAAATTTTGTGTTTTCCATGTTGTTATAACTGAGGAATAGAACTCTGTGTTAGTAAGTCCTGTGATGTGACCACTTCAAAAGGGGTCAATTTTATACTTCATATGTGTTTGCAAATTTGTCATATTTCAACTGAATAGCAATAGATAGTCAAAAGACACACAAATGACCATGGGACAAGATAAATGGATATGAAATTTGTTACCACATATCATCAACAAATGTAAAGAGAAACAAAGAAACTGTTTTCTCAGTTTCACTCTATAAAAATCAATTTGATAATCTTTGGTATCTTCGGGTTAAATTGATTTCTTTCCTCATAGAGTATTACGAAGGTCTACTTTATATAATAGGAGGAATGGCAGGAAAAATTATGAAATAATGTTGAATTTAACTAAACTGATGAGTTCAAACTAAGAAACAAAAAGAATGAACATGATTTATGATAAAAAATGAAAGTTAATATTTTCCTACACTGAAAATATATTTCCGATACATCCTTACCTCCTCTTGCATAATAGCTTTTCTCATTCAGTGCTGCCCTCTATATAAAAAATTTTTTGCTTGACACTAGTCTTGAAACTTCCACTTACCCTATGTTACTATGTGGATCACCTGCATTGTAGCATGTAAATAAGCACATGAAAACCCACCACCAACAGGAATGTGACATACTCTCCTGCTGCAGCTGGCTCCCTCTATACTGTAGAACCCAATCCTCCCAGAAGTGGAGAGAAAGAGTGAAAAGTGTGAAAAGAGGTAAGGAACTATTGGAAATATATTTTAAGTGTAAGAAACTATTAACTTCCAATACAATATCTTACCTCTTCTCATATAATAGCTAGAATCCCACATTGACCTGGTGGAGAGACTATTGTAAAAGCTACCTAGATGAGCATCCTTTGGAAAGCATCTGTAGAATGACACCATTGAGTGTGACTTTTCTCATTAAAAGAACACATACATGGGAGACTGCACATCAGACTATAGACGGGAGATCAACTCCAGCCCAAAACCAGCGGCACAAAGATTGGTTCAATTGACCCAAGGTAGGAGAAGAACTTCTGTTCCGAGAACCAACATCATCATGTGTGCATATCCAACATGACCAACACCTGGAACCAGAATTGGATCATTTTGTCCATGATAGGAGGGGGGTCCTCAACCATCTTTATCTGGACTGTAAATAGGAGGTCAACTCCAGTCCTAAACCAGCAGATCTGGGAAAAGAACATCTGGTCCAATGTAGAAAGAGGGTCCTTGACCAGCTGTGCCCATGGTATAGAGTGGGTAGGGTGTGTCAGACCATAATCAGGAGGAAAACTCCAGCCCAAAACCTGTGGCACCAAGATTGGATCAGTTGGCCCAAGGTAGGAGAATCCGCGTCATAATGTGTGCATATTCAACATGATCGACACCTGTACCCCTAGGAACTGACATCTGGACGATGGTAGAAATGCAACATAGAGGATCAAATCCAGTCAAAAACCATGCACTGGCAATATATTGCCCAGTCCATGGTAGAAGAGTCCAAGCCCACCCACATGTGAGGACTTATGATGACTGGTTTAGATCCAACCAACACCAGTTGCCCAGGAACTGACATCCAAGCAGCAGTAGCAGGAAGGATGATTCCCAGTTGGAGGGGTGAACTACATATTGGAATGTGATAGAAAAATCCAGTACACACCATACAGCATCTGGAATCATACATCAGATCTGCAGTAGGGAGATAGTCATGCAACCTACACTGGCAGAACACCACCACTCTATTCTCAACTAAGTGAAGTTGAGCACACTCAGGAGGAAGCCTCCATGGTCCACCACCCCAGCAGCTAGGAGCTGGTAAGTGGTAAGGACTCCCATACTCTACTGTAAGAATGTGTATTATAGCT